AGCAAAATTAAATTTTTGCGGCAACCCTGTCAAATCAAAATATTAATATATAATTTAAAAGAGTCTAAATTTTGTTATAAAATTTATAATCTGATTATTACTTACGTAGCCGTTATTGACGCTCATAATTGTTAGGATTTGTTCGCAGCCAATGTTGGTCGGAATGGCCTCTTTTGAAATATCGATGTACAACTCTGAGTTTGATAAAAGGTCTGCGACAAAATTGGGATCAAGAAAGACAATTGATGGATCTATTTCGTCTTTAGTTAAGTGGAATTGAAGGGAACCGTTGTCGTAGTTTCTTAAATGATTCCATTCTTTACTGTTTATCAGTCTGGCAAATGACTCCATATTTTCTGGATTTGGTGGTAAATTCTCCCTCCTCCACCGGTTCATGTTCGCTCGCATATTGTTGAATGGCATACCAATATGTACGTTCCCGTGGCTTAAAAAATATAAATATAAAAACTTTTTATCATTCTAATACCATACATATTATAACTGAGTCAGGATTTCTCTTAGGAATCAATTAAACTTAAAAACAATTTATTTTAAATGTTATAAATTATTTTACAATTGTTGTGATCAAAATAAGTTTTTGAAATTTTTAAGATCATCAAATTTTTTTTGCGAAATTGTTACCTAAAAATTTTAAAAATAACTGATTCAATTTTTTTCTCAACGCTAAACTCAAAAAGGTACCTACATAAAATATGAAAATATTTTTATATTTTTCATGGGACATAAAAAACGCCATTTTTTATTAATGTTTTATAAATAAACAATTTAAAGTGTTTCTTCGGATGCTATTCTTGAAAAAATCGATTTTTTTTACAATTTTATTTAAATTTTGAAAAAATGTTTCTTCGAGTACGCTTTAAAAGTGGTAAAAATGTTATAACTCTTTGCTATGCAAAATCTTCAACTATTCAAGTTCAAACTTCGGCTTCTACATGCGATTATTTTAAAAATGAAAAATGCTTACTACGATATCTCGTTTTTAGGGTTCCGTACACCTACGGTGTATCGGCGGAACCCTATTGGTGAGACTCTGTTGTCCGTAGCCAAATCGTGTCCCCCCCCCTAGCGGCTAAACTATTTGACCTGAAGAGCTCAAATTTGGTCCAGATATGTATTTTCACTCGTAGATTACAGGAAAAATATAGCGAATGTGATTGGAGGTGATGGCCATAGCGTTGTCAAGGAAATAACAAGATTTTTGGCCAAAAATGCATAAAAAGTGACCATTCCCCCCCCCTTAACTTCTAAACTATTCGACATGGAGAGCTGAAATTTTGCATGCTGGTGTATTCTTACTCGAATATTACAGGAAAAATATATAGAACTTGATATGTAATGATGGCCATAGCGTTGTCAAGGAAAAACTAAAAAATTTTAAAAAAAAATTTGTTTTCCCTAACTTTTACATTATTTGACCTAATGAGCTAGAAATTGGTATCCTGGTGTATTATTACAGTCTGACGACAAAAAATTTATTTAAGAAACTTTCAAAAAAAAAAAATTTTTTTTAAATTTTTTTAGTTTAAAGGTTTAAATTTAAACACGTGGCATTAAATATGTTAAGGAAGAGTGAAATTTTAAGAGAATAAATGAGAGATTGTTTTCTGACTTTAATTTCTTAACTAAAAATAAAAAAAAATTGGACAAGTGCGAGTTGCACTCGCACTGCAATGGCGGGTTCCGTACACAAATATTAAAACAATACTTGCAACATTTATCGGTAATTAGTAGAATTAAAATAAACAATTAAAAAAATATATTAAAATCATTTGATAAGAAGAAATAACTAAAAAAATTAAAGTATTGTATATATCTAATATTGTAAACAATAATAAGCAGAGGAACAAAATTTTCAAAATTATAGTTCCTCTGCTTATTATTGTTTACAATATTAGATATATACAATACTTTAATTTTTTTTAGTTATTTCTTCTTATCAAATGATTTTAATATATTTTTTTAATTGTTTATTTTAATTCTACTAATTACCGATAAATGTTGCAAGTATTGTTTTAATATTTGTGTACGGGACCCGCCATTGCAGTGCGAGTGCAACTCGCACTTGTCCAATTTTTTTTATATTGTAAAGTGTTTTGAAATTGAACCGCCGGCGCCGGCGACCAAAAGGGCATGCGCACGGTTTTCGTTGGCCCCTTGCGCAGCCGTAGAATCGCTGTACGCGGGGCCAACGAAAGTCACGCGTATGCCCTTTTGGTTTCCGACGGTTCAATTTGTACTAGATTTAAAGTGTACGAGATATAATACACGGAAAAAAAAAGTTCGAGGAATTCGATGGATTCTGCTTCCCCCCTCCCACTTCCCCTCCTTGACACGTGTGCACACACACACATTTATCCTTGAAGGTTACATACAATTTTTATTTTTTATTAAGTTTCTGAAATAGAAAAAACCATATTAGCGAAAAATCGACGGCGGCTGGAACAGAACTCGCGTACCCGAGAATAGAAGTCCGGCGTCTTATCCAGCTGAGCTAAACAGGCGAGTTAAATACCTCAGCATAAAATAAATATATAAGGCACGCAAGTCTTACTGACGGTGAGAATTGTTGAGACTGGTGCGCACAGTTTCTGCGCACCAAGATTCCCACATAGCACAATAGTATGAGGTAAGGTTATGTTGAATACTAATCGTAAGGCTTATAAGGTTACACCTACACGATATTGCTGTGGTAGACCTAAGGTGAACTAAAAACTTCCGCCATGGAGGTAAGGTTACATGTTAGGGTGTGGTAAGTATATATGATAAGGCTATGGTAACCTTACACGTTAAGGTTGAGATAACCTTACACGTTAAGGTTGATGTAACCTTACACGTTAAGGTTGAGGTAATGTTACACGTTAAGGTTGAGGTAACGTTACATGTTAAGGTTAAGGTAAGGTTATATTTCAAGGTTAAGGTAAGGTAATTATTAAGTTGTAAGGTTGAGGTAAGGTTAAGGTAAGGTTGTGAAAAGTTTACCAGTTATGAAAAATATTGACAAAATAATTAATAATATAATTAATAAATAAATATTAAATTAAAAAGTTAAGTTTGTTACTCTTCTCTATTTTGGAAACCTGACATGAAGCAGAAAATGTTGAAAACAAATTGGGGGGACTCGGATTCGAACCCGGGATCGACGCGCATAAACCAATCATTCTAACTAACTGAGCTAAGTACAGAACTGTCAGAAGAAAAATCAATTTTGCCTTTAAGGTGAACCAAGAATATGATTAACTCCTTGGCAAAATTAATTTTCTTGCTACCAGTTCTCCACTTAGCTCAGTTAGTTAGGCTGTTAGGTTTATGCGCGTCGATCCCGGGTTCGAATCCCAGTCCCCCTAAATTTGTTTTCAAAAATTTCTGCTTCATGTCAGGTTTCCAAAATAGAGAAGAGCAACAAACTTAACTTTTTAATTTAATATTTATTTATTATATTATTAATTATTTTGTCAATATTTTCCATAACTGGTAAACTTATCACAACCTTACCTTAACCTTACCTCAACCTTACAACTTAATAATTACCTTACCTTAACCTTGAAATATAACCTTAACTCAACCTTAACGTGTAACGTTACCTCAACCTTAACGTGTAAGGTTATCTCAACCTTAATGTGTAAGGTTACCATAGCCTTATCATATATACTTACTACACTCTAACATGTAACCTTACCTCCATGGCGGAAGTTTTTAGTTCACCTCAGGTCTACCACAGCAATATCGTGTAACCTTATGAGCCTTACGATTAGTACTCAACATAACCTTACCTCATACTATTGTGCTATGTGAGCTTATTCTATGATAATCGGCTCTACTTGGTATGTAAATAAAATAAATTTGAGTGATTGCTCTGTAATAAAAATTAATTTTAATACCATCCCTTTTGTTGATTTAGTTAAAAATTTGGGTGTTTTCTTTACGCCAACTCTTTCTTGGGATAAGCAGGTTAGCAAAATATGCAAGAGCCTCTATGCCACCTTATTACAATTCAAAACAAATAAGGAAGCCCTTACGGTTGAATTAAAGATGAAACTTGTTACGTCATTGGTTTTCCCTCATTTTGATTACTGTTGTGTTGTATATAATGATATGACTGAAGAATTAAATTATAAACTTGAGAAACTCCTGAATTCATGTATAAGATTTATATTTGATCTAAAGAGGGATGAACATGTAACTCCATATAGGTTACAGCTAGTTTGGCTTAGTGTTAGTAACAGACGACTTTGGTACATCGGCTGTCTTACACATGTAATTTTAAACAATAAAAAATCTTCGTACTTGTATGAAAAGTTTGTTTTTAGAGAGGAAATTACTACTAGGGAGTTAAGATCTCCTTGCATTCTTAGGGCTCCAAAATGTAAAACAGAAAAATATAAAAACTCGTTCATGGTTACTACCATAAATTTATGGAACTCTCTTCCTCGTTCTATGACAAATATTGAAAGTCCAAAAACATTTAAACTACAATTATATAAATATTTATTTTCGCTGGATGTATAGAGTATATAGAGTGTATCTTTATTGAAATGTCATCTGTATGTGAGTTGCTGTGATAATTTGTAAATCAAAGTATTATTCTATTCTATTCTATTCTATTCTATTCTATTCTATTCTATTCTATTCTATTCTATTCTATTCTAAATCATTCAGTTTCTGTCTTACAAGGGGATCACCAGACATGGTGGTTAAAAACTAAAATATAGAAACTATGGAATAAATTATAAATAATTTATAAAAATTCAGAAACTTAAATCTTTGAAGAAATAATGTACATATTTGCTTATTGTTAAATACGAAAATTATAAATTAATAAAATTGCAAAATATAAGAAAAAATAATAATTTTTAAATGTTTGTATCCTAGTGTCTACACTTTAGAAAAGTATTAGTTTTTTTAAACATAATGTCTGGTAATCCCCCTTATTAGTGTTTTTACTCATAAGAATTAAAAATGTTAACATATATTTATTTTAGGTTTTAATTTTAAAATTAAATAAAGAAGCACCTTTAAGGAAAGATATATTTCGTGCTCCAGGACATCAAGGAAATATGAAGAAGCTCATATATTTTTTACAGAGTGGTCGACTTATCAATATGGATAATTTTAGTGTTTATACAATTGCTAGTGCTCTAAAAAAGTTTTTACGCAAAATTCCTGGAGGTGTGTTTGGAAGAGATGGAGAAATGCAACTTTTTACTGTAATTCAACTAGAAAGTATTGAACAACAAAGGGACCAAATTCACAAGTATGAATAATTTAATATATAGTTTTAGTAATTTGGTAATAAGATGCATTAAAATTCAAATTTTTTAAAAAATTTGTTTATACACCCGTCTTCAGCCTACATAACTTAGATATACAAGTGTTTCTATACAATTTTCTCTTTTAAATTTCTTTGCATACTTTAATAACCTTAACTAATTTTGCGTCTACAGAACGCCTTGAAAATTAGGAGTACTCGCATTTGCCTGGATCACCCGTCTAATGGGTTTTCTCGCCAGAGGAGAGAGAAACTGTAGAAAACCTCTCCTGAGTATAACCGGTTTATCTACAGCCGAGTTCTAATGGTGTGTACTGGACAATAATCGACAGTGCACATCATAATACCTCGACGTCAAACCTCCCGCTTGATAAATTAAGAAAAGCAGTGACAAAACACCGGGTTACAGCGAGAATCGTAATTTACCATGGGTTCATTAAAATTCAAATTCCATTAGGGGCCGTCCATAAATTATGTAACAAAGTTTTTATTGAAATTTTGAACCCACCCACCTCCTATGTAACAAAATCGTTATATCCCCCCCTTCTCGCTATCATTGTTATATAATTTAAAAAAAAATTTTTACTATCGTTTTTCTAAACTTTGTTTATTACTATTATTTATAGTATTCATATCGTACAATAGTAATATAAAATTAAATTAAGTATAAAATACATTATAACGGGTGTCTTACTATTGTTGTTAATATTTGTGAAATTATTATTAATTTTATTACTCTAAATGAGGTTATTTTATTTTATTAATTTATTTTTATTTACTTCCGAATCAACAAACTAAATAAAAACACACGTTACTTTATTGTTTGAATTTATGCCCGAACGCCAGAGATATTTTATGGAAAAATATTCAAACCTATAATTTAATTAATTTTACGCTAGCTCAATCTCTTCAAGGAGAGCGCGGGGAGAGAGAAATCACCAGTTAGTTTAAAATTTTAATTTAATAACAAGAAAATTACAGGTCCAGACGGGACCTGTTCAAAAATACAGAAATGTCGTGAAACAAGGAAAATTGAAATTTTCAAATTTGAAATTGTCACTTTTGATCGATTATTTGTCAGGAGACAACACATTTAATTATTACGAGACTCACCGGAGATACGCCGACGTCCCTGTTTGTTCCCCGACTCATCTTCAAAGGAGCAAACTTAAAATTAATTTATTAATTAGTTTTTAGGAAAATGAACAGGTGACAGGTCTTAAGCGACCTGTCACTCTTATGAACGCCAAACTGAGAATTAATTAAATGGCCGACGGGGACGCACATCTCGGCTTCGTGGTGAGTCTTACGCGCACTCGATACAAAGATTTTCGGTAGGTAATCGATGCGCGACAGTAAGTAATTCGCTTGGTGGCCAAAAGACTAAATTGCCATTTCGCTAAATTAAAATTTTACACAGTAAGAGGTTAGGTTCGAAACACTCAGTCGGTAAAACAGTTTTGCTGTGCGTGGTTTAGCAAAATGGCAATTTAGCCTTTTGGCCACCAAGCATTCAGGTCATTTATCGACCGTCAAAAAGGGTTCATGAAAGTTCGTTTAGTCTCCGCGAGGGGTACTGCGCGACGACGTCCTGTTCGCAAGATGGCTGCAGCCAGTGTTTTGACAGCTGATGTCCTCGTCAATGGACTTTCGCCTTTTTGCCACTTCGTATGACCCGTAATGATTACAAGTAAACACATTACTTGTTGGAATACGAAGCAATCTCTCAGCAGTGATCCCGAAGATTGAAAATCCGGAACTCGCGATGACATTGGACATGAAATGATAAACCGAGTATCACCCTCTTATGTTTACAATAATAGTGTTGACCAGCGATCTGAAGGTTCGCTAAATTAACAATATTAAAGTCCGTATTCCGTTTGCATATATATATTTTGTCTGTTCGCTTTTAGTATGTCTGTTCGCCGTTAGAGGGAGCAAAACGCCCCCCGCTGCGAGGGCTACTTGGAATTGAGTCCCTAGCAACCTTCACAGCGGGGGTCGCTTGGACCCTCAAACCCTCATTAGGAAAAACTGCTAATGACTTTTTCTATAAAATATAAATTTTTTAAACAGTAACATTTTTTATTTTTCATTAACATATTTAAATTCCTTACTTTCTCACGATTTTATACATATGTTGTTTACCAAAAAAATGTTAAAATTTAAAGATTAAGTTAAATATTTATTTAATAATAGGTATGGTTTTTGGTAGAGTTAACTTCATTCTATGTATCTGAAAAAATAATAAATTTTTTTAATTTTAACATTTTTTGGTAAACAACATATGTATAGAATCGTAAGAAAGTAAGGAATTTAAATATGTTAATGAAAAATAAAAAATGTTACTTTTTAAAAAATTTGTATTTTTATAGAAAAAGTCATTAACAGTTTTCCTTAATGAGGGTTTAAGGGTCCGAGCGATCCCTGCTGTGAGGGTTGCTCAGGACTCAGTTTTGACTTGGTGTGCCGTATGGTGGGGATAGGCTTCTTTCCCTCACGGGACTAACTTGGACACTAACCTTGTATGTAGTGTAGAGAGTTAACAATCGTGCTTCGTGAGTGGTATATTCATTTTTTGAATATATCACATTACTATTTGATATACTTTTTTTTATTTTGGATAACATTAGATATTTTCTTTTCTTTTTTTGTATAATTTATCTACAATTTGTAGAGAGGTAATTAAAGTGTTTTGAGAGAGGTATAGTTATATTTTTTTAAATATTATATTATCATTTGATATAGTTTTTTTAATTTTGAATTTAAAGGATAAAGAAATTGACATTTTTTTTCTGTTTGGAATAACATTTGATTTTTTTATTTAAAAGATAAGAAAATAAATATTGGATAAAATTGAAATTTAGATATTGGATGAAATAAAAGATAAGAAAAGAAATATTGGATAAAATTGAAATTTGGATATTGGATGAAATAAAAGATAAAAAAAGAAATATTGGATAAAATTGAAATTTGGATATTGGATGAAATGAAAGATAAGAAAAGAAATATTGGATAAAATTGAAATTTGGATATTGGATGAAATTGGAATTTAAAGTATTTAAAATTTAAAATGGATTAAAGAGAAATATATATATTGGATGAAATTAGAATTTGATGCATTTAAAATGGATTAAAGAGAAATATATTGAATGAAATTGGAATTTGACGTATTTAAAATGGAATAAAGAGAATATATTGGATAAAATTGGAATTTGACGAATTTGAAATAGATTAAATAGAATGTATTGGATAATATTGAATTTAGGCTTATTAGATATGTAAATTGGATGAATTTGGAATTTGACGAATTTGAAATATATTAAATAGAATATATATTGGATAAAATTGAATTTAGGGCTTATTGGATATGTATATTGAATAAAATTGGAATTTGACATATTGAAAATGAATTAAATAGAATATTGGTTGTTGAATTCAAAAACATTGTTTTATGGGTTAAATATGATTTGATTGGTTAAATATTGATATGTTGGTTAAATAATTAAATATTGGATAAAATTGGAATGTGGCTTATTTGAAATGGAGTAAATACACTTTATTAGTTGAAATCTTGAATATTGTTTTATGAGTTAAATATTGGTTGGTTTGTATTATTGATATAGGAGACAATGATTTTGTAAGAATTGATGAAATTGTGATGTAGAAAATATAAATTGGGAAAACGTAATTATTATTATCAAAACCCACAAATTGGAATTAAAATTAGATTAAGAAGAAAATATTGATTAAAAAATGTCAAGAATAGAAGGCCATGTTAATTTAAGTGCTAGAGAATATAGAGAAATACTTAATAATAAAAAAATGTTAAGTGATAATCATATTTATGAATTTGGAAAAATTTTGGAAAGAGAATCAAATTCTATGTTTAGAATGCAAAGTACTTTATTTGTAAATGAAGATCTGCTTGAATATATTAGACCTATTGGAGTAGGCGAAAAACATATTCAAATACTATTTAGTGGTCATAATAAGAGGGGTCATTGGATTTGTACGTATTATGATGGAGTAAGAATTTATATTCCTTGATAAATTTTACATCCGTTTTCATTTATTTTGTTGTAATAAATTTTACGAGGCCTTATGCGGTTTAAACAATTTTATTTATTTTGACGACGTTTCGATACATTGAGTATCCTCTTCAGGTCAAATAATTGAAAATAAAAAGCAAACAGTCGTTCAGTCATTTCATCGAAAAAACAAAAGAAAACAGAAACACCTCATAAAGAGGGTTTCCATTAATTTATTATTATTATTATTTTATTCGATGAAATGACTAAACGACTGTTTGTTTTTTATTTTCAATTATTTGACCTGAAGAGGATACTCAATGTATCGAAACGTCGTCAAAATGAATAAAATTGTTTACACCGTATAAGGCCTCGTAAAATTTATTACAACAAGAATTTATATTTTTGATAGTCTTAATGAAAAATGTCTGAATGGAGATCAGTTGAATTATTTAAGTAGATTATATCCTTTTAAGCCACCAGTAGTTTTTGTTACTGTTGATCAACAACCAATGGGTAGTGTTGAATGCGGAGTATATGCAATAGCATTTGCAATATCATTATTTTATAATGTTATGCCAAACACTGTTAATTACGAAAGCATAAATAACAAAATGAGGCAGCATTTAAAAAATGTTTTAAGATAATCGTCTATGTCAGTTTTCAGAGATGAGAAGATCGAATATGAGACATTCGATTGTAGAGTGTGATTAGAAGCGTCTTTTGAAATATGAAAAAACAAATTCTTATAATTTTTTGAAGGAACACCCTTGGAATAATGTAAATAATAATAAAATTGTAACAATGGAGCAGTCAAAGGATAAGTGTTCTTTGAATGAAAAGAATTATAATAATTTTAATTCAATTAGTAATAATGATAATAGAGGCTGTATAATTGAGCACTCCAAAAGTAAATTAACAATATTAAAGTCCGTATTCCGTTTGCATATATATATTTTGTCTGTTCGCATTTAGTTTGTCTGTTCGCCGTTAGAAGGGACATAGAGCCCCCCGCTGCGAGGGCTACTTGGAATTGAGTCCCGAGCAACCTTCATAGCGGGGGTCGCTCGGACCCTTAAACCCTCATTAAGGAAAACTGCTAATGACTTTTCTATTAATAATGAAAAATATAAATTTTTAAATAGTAACATTTTTAACTTTTAAATTAACATATTTAAATTCCTTACT